ATAAACGCCGAGTTCACACTTTAGTATGTCGTGAAGTTGGTAAAGCACTAAACACTTTATCAAAGTTTTCATAATATTAGATGCGTCTGAAAATTTAGAGAAGGCAATTTCTAAGGCATTGGCGTTTGAAGCAGACGATTTTTTTACGCAGCGGAGATGGACTGTTTGGGTTGGCCGGAGCGGGTCACGTGAACGCTACCACACCCGCGGAGAAGCTCCCGACGAAACGTTGGCGGGCGCTCGGTCGCACAACACTTGGACCAGGCTCACGGCGGTGAGGCTGAGCCGCAACAGTTGAACACACGACGGCATGACAGACCACGTCGACGAGCAGCAGCGCGCTCAGACGTGGCTCGATCGACTATTCACTTTTGTCGAACCCTTTTGCAGACAAGGAACTGCAGTTCCTTGCTGTTGCCGCGCCTGTCTTTTTTGTTTCTGCGACTGACGCCGCCTGCGGAACGCGCGCCGCTTTTGAGTCGAAAAGATTGTCTGCTAAAAAGGCCTGCTCTCGGCGCCGTATGCTCGTTCGTTGGTAGGGAGGCTCAAGTGAGGGTGGGTGCAACTGCTAGATCGGCGATCACGGGACATGGACGCCATTTAATTGCTAAATTTTGCTGGGAGTCTATGGGGCAAAGGGTCGTTTTCTTTCCTAACTCAGGTCATAAAAGCCCATTAAGGTGCTTGAATAATTTACACAAGGTATAAATGATTACTTTTCCATAGCCACCAGTTTTGTTGCGATAGGTTAAGTATTTTTTTAACGCGAAAAATGGTAAATTCCGCCATCTTGGACGTTGCTGCTTGTCTGGCAACTTTGCTTTCTCCGCTCGACGTTTGCAATTCTCGGAGCGAGAAGGAAGCGAGAGAGGCTGCGCCAAGGCGCTCGTTGCTTGCAATGGGAGGCGAGAGGAGGAAAGGCGCATGGAGCAACGGAGTTGCAACAGAGCGGGCGCCTGTTCTCGTGCAGGCAACACTGGCGCATATCCTTTCTCGAATCCTCTCCCTCAGGCGCCGCCATTAAATTGCAAACGCTCTCCAGGTTTTGAGTTGCGCCCACCCTCACTACAGCCTCCCTATTCGTTGGCGGCGTTTGTTGCGCCATCTCTTGTCTCCCGTGTGAAACGGCGCCGTGTTGTTTGCAGACCGGTAGCGTCGCTGCGTTTCCATAGGAGCTAAGCCTTTTTCTTTCTTTACTTTTTCCTCAGGTAAGTTCGCTCTTTGCAAATTTTACAAACAAAAAAAAAATGCATTATCGGTGGGCAGCGCTGCACGAAGTCGTAGCGCGATAGGTTAAGAAACCGAATTTTCCGGTCGATTTAAAGAGCCTGCCGTCTCCTTGTTTCACACCCTGTATAAGCACCAACGGAATGCTGGCGGACTTTTAACACACTCTACATTCCTTGCGATCGTTATTTTGCTTAGAATCATCGATCGTTTCTACATACCTGCCATGGAACAGAGGTTTGGGCCTGAAATATAGCGAAGTTTAACATCGTTCAGTGGCAAAAGAAAAATGCTGTAACTAAAGCAATTACACTTTCACAATAGTAATAAAGGTGCATACTATCCGGTACAACCGAAATAACAAGCGTTATTTATGTTATTTTCCGTCGACGAGACAAAATTCACGCGCGTTTTCCCCATAGAGTTATTATAATGTACGCTAGAGGTTCAACTGGCGCTAGTGTCTATGCGACTTCCGGGAGGCAAATTGAAGCAGACAGCAACCAGTCTACTTTTGCGGTGCTCCTGTGCATTCCTATGGGAAAACGCGCGTGAAATTTGTCTCCTCGCCGGAAAATAACATGAATAACTTTTATCATTTCGGTTGTACCGGATAGTATGTACCTTTATTAATATTGTAAAAAGAGTAATTGCTTTAATTACAGCATTTTTCTTTTTCACTGAACGATGTTAAGCTTCGCTATATTTCAGGCCCAAACCTATGTTCCATGGCAGGTATGTAAAAACGAGCGACGATTCTAAGCAAACTAACGATCGAAAAGAATGTAGAGTGTATTCAAGGTTCGCTAGCATTGCGGGGGCGCTTATATATTGCTAATATGCCCGTCCTGTCACTCTATGAAAATGACTCCATCGTGCTTCTTTAAGACGGTTAAAAAACATTTGAATGTAAGAAATAAAGTACGTGGACTACGAAAGGTGTGCTTTTTTATTATTTCCTATGTCGGGCAGTTTTTATCGGGCACCTATTCTCTGACTGCTCCCTATTTGCAAAGATTTGGAGCGTGCGGCTGATGATTTGAACCCAGAACAAGCATCTTCGCACATATTCACGAGCAGAAAGAATAAAGCAGTACTTATTTATTGCATATCTGACTACTAGTATATTACGTGGCTTTCAATTTATTTTGATCGTCTGCATGCATAAGGAGTTATTTATCCAGTGTTACTGCGTAGTTCTTGCCGTCTCTCTTGGTTTTTCACATGTAATTCGTTCGTTTGGGCACGTATATCCCCCATGGCGTAAAGCGCCGACGCCGTGTTCGCGCTAACAGTGTCCGACAGTGCACATAAATACACGTACGAAGCGGTTTTAACACCGTTTTTCATGCCACGAATTTCAAATAAAAATGCTGAGCTGACCAGTTATTTCGTCTGCGTGACTGAGAAATGTTCCAATGTGCCTTGTACGTATAAAATATTCGTGATATCTGCTCTTATAATCGAGCGCAGAGAGAAAATGCACTCGCTTTTTCCCATAGAAATGCATGACCGGAAGTCAATTTCGGACTGGTTGCTGTCTGCTTCAATTTGCAGCAGCACACTAGCGCCAGTTGAACCTCTAGCGTACATTATAATAACTCAGGAAGACTGGAAAAGTAGACTGCATGCTGTCTGCTTCAATTTGCAACCGGAAGTCCCGTAGACACTAGCGCCAGCTGAGCCTCTAGCGTTTATTATAATAACTCTGTGGTTTCAAGTACTTTTTTCTTGCTGCTTAAAGTCGGGACGCGCGAGAAGAACACGTAGAAAAAGAAACGTTCCTTGATCATCGCTGAGCCCAACTATGGTGCCTGAATCGCGTCTTCGACTGGTGTGTTTGGCGTCCTATGCCGCCATACATCAAAAGTGGTCCCAATGTGGCAACAAATGACGCGAGTGTCATGCTGTTGCCTGTCGCGATCCTGGCGGTTGGCCGTAGAAATGCTGGCGAAAAGCACGAGCGAACGCGAGTGTCACTTTCGTCACGGCGTCCCTTTAGGCGTCCCAACTTCCGGATGCTCCAACTTCCGTAAACTGTCACAGTGGAAAGCGACCAGGGTCGCACCAGGCGACAGCATGACATTTCTATGACGTCATCAGGCGGAAATCGAGGGACCACTTTTTTGAACCCGGTAAACACACCAGTCGGAGACGCGTTCCAGGCACCATAGCCCAACGCTGTCGGCCCGTCGGCCCTACCGCCCCTGCTTCGTTTAGTACACGATAGATGGCGCTTGGCTCTCAGCATTATCAAATTTGGCAATTTTCGTCACATCTCTAATTATGCCACAAAATGTGGGTCTGAATATTATTTAACAAAACTTTTAGGAAACATTCGCCGGCTATTTATTGTTTACGATCGCGGTGTTTTGAGGTAGGCTTTGACGTGGATTCGGCTGGCGTGCAGCGATTCTGCGGATGCATCGCAGTGAAAAGGCAGAGAGCTTTCGAAAGAAAGAAGGCGCAAAAGTGTCTAGTTTTCTTTTAAAAGTTCTAAAGCGAATATTTTTTGGGCTCCCTATTTTTGTGTTTTTGTGTTCCTTTTCACACCTTTTACGACGTGTGGTGTATGAAATTCGATTTCAGAATCGTTTCATGGTCCCTTGAAGCAGAACAGCTATGAGGTGCTTCCGTTTTGTAGCCTTTACCGTTGTCAGTTTGCACAATCTCGAGCGAGACGTGCTAGTTAATGCGTGTAGGTGCCGAGAGGATTAGAATGGATAATTACTCGCACGACCATTCTAGTAAGTTTCATCAACGATGTTCTTGCTTATGACGTGCTTGAGGAGAGCGCGAATTAACGTCCCAGTCAAATTTCGCTATATGTAAGGGATTTCGACTCCTTCGACGACGTTTACGAAGCAAGCAGCAACGCAGCTGCGTGTGATTACATGATCAGAAAAACCGAAACTGATTAATTAACTCGAAAACAAAGCACATATTTCTCGAAAAAATAACTGACTAAACTTCAAAAACGTGGGTTTGATTTAGGTAACCACAGATGTGGAAGTCTGCATGACGCATGAACAATTAAATATCCTTGCTTTTCTTTAGGAATCAAATCACCAGGCCATAGAGATCATACATACTAACTCTAGAGGAAAAGGTCCGCCATTTTCCCATACATTCTGGCTGCCGCAAGCGGCGGTTACATCATCAGAGCAGTTTCATGAACTTCAACAATCCGCGAACTTACCGGTGGAAAGATATTCACGTTCCTTTCGAAGCTTTCTTTTTGCATAGCGCGCAGATGTACGGCCTCGCGTTAACGCTAAACTAAACCATTTACCCGGCTTCGCCGGCGGGGCACGGGTGGGCGCGGTTGAGGAATACGAAACTGCGCAACCATCAGATTTCCGAGATTTCGACAGAAGGGAAGTTAATGCAGCGTAATGACTTTATTGCTTTTTATAAGCGTTAGAATAGCTCAGAATTTAGTTGACAACATTAAATTATCACTGTTTATATTGCTGAGAGTTTTCACTCTTCGCGTTTACCATTGCGACTGCCGTCCTTCAGCTGGCAACGTTGCTTTCTTTCACTCGGGACCCTCGGGACACAAGCGTTTCGGGGCAGTAAAACTGGAAACGCCGATTGGCTGAAAGAAAATGACGTCACTTCCGGTTTTGTTATTTTGTTGATTTTTAGATAACGTTTTAAAGTGAAAATATATAAAAAGGTACTTTTCTTGTTTTTGTTTGTTTTTACTCTTTTTTTTTTTTATTTTCCTTGCTTGATTTTTTAATTTTGGCTGGTACGCTTCCGTTCTGTTCCGCCTTGGCGCCCTTGGCCGCGGGGGCAATGTTTTTGTTTTCGTTCTACGTTCAGGTGTTGGGTGGCGACGTATTAACCGTCGATAACCAGCTGAAGCAGCTCAAGTTCTCGAGTGGAACGAGGTTGACCGTGCGCAGTGGCAGCCGTTGACAACAAAAACAATGTATGCACTCAGCTTCGCCGGATGAGTGCCGGCGTCGATCGCGAACCGCCAGAGCCGCCAAATACCTCTCGTACATCTCCAAGAACACCAAGAACAGGAGGTATTCATAAAGGTGAGTGTTCACCGCACTTTAGTGCTTCAGTTCCGTTTGGAGTCGTTTGACATAATTTAGTCCGGTGCGTCCGGGAACAAAGGCGCTGCCAGAAATGGCGGGAATGGTCGGTCGGTGCTGAATGCTGATGCCATCCAAGCGGATTTGAATTGGGTTTCGTGCGCTCAACGTGTCGACTTGTTTCTTGAGCTGCCTTTACCAACCGCTCGCCCGAAATCGTTCGGTAGAACATGCGGACGTGACGGCTAGCAGAGCCCTCCGCAAAGGCTTAGGAGCGCGCTCACAATTTTGGAAGCTTCCGTATGACCCCAAGTGCTCAATAAGTCGCTATAGCAATGATTGCATGCCATCGACACAGACTTCGATCCAGTTTTTCAACGAGACAGGAAGGCCCAACGAAGCAAGCGTAGAATCTGATGCTTCGCCTGTCACTGTCTGCGCGGGAACACGCCGAGAGGCGCTTAAACGAGCTGCCAAAGCGTAATTAAAAAAAAAAAAAAAAATCTAACGCAGGTCTGAACCACGCGAGGATCGTCTCGAAGCATGGTAGCCTCAACAGACGCTTGCCGCCACACGCGAGGAGAAAGCAGGAGGCCCGAAGTTTGAATGTGAAGGTAAAACGTGCTTTAATAATAATGATCTTTATCTGCACGTTCCTTTGTATGACTAAGGTGATCGTGCTGAGACACAATATAGCAGCGATTGCTCTCGAACAAAGGACAGGACAGCAGAAAGGCAATGAGAGGCAGGGAGATAACTGACCTCTCTGTTGTAAAACATTTTTCAGAGGAGGTGCGAAGAGCTGGCCCTCACTTTTTCAAGGCAGCCGCAGAACACTACGAGCCCCGAATCACTGCCGCGGCTGACTCACGCGGATGCTGTGCTGCACCCTGCACTGCACATGGTTCGAAGCACACTTCAGGGGACCAGTGCATGCCCCTGATGCATCGTCGCGGTATGTTTTGTACTGCTTTTCCTAGCGGTGCACTGAGCAGTCCAATCTTGAAGGGAGCACGCGAGTGCGTAGCCAGTGCTCCATGCAGCGAGGACCGCAAGCACCCGCGGAAGCTTGGAGCACACGCAGTGACGCCAGCAGCCGTGCACGCTGGCGTCGTCTGCTACTGTACCGTCCTTTCGTTCGGTGCGCAGAAAAAAAAAGGAGTGGCCACTCTGTTAAAAGTCTGATGGTGAAGGCATCCTTTACAGAAGCACTGTATGGCTCTCTGCACGCTAGAATGGGGGCTGTCGTTGATGCTCGCAGAGGCGTCGCCCACAACTAAGCAGACGACCAAAGTCCTGAGCAGGTGACTAATCGTTTCATTGTTCTTTGGTAGGGAAAGGTAGATAATGTGCTTCTACTCCCAGCTTTTTTTTTTTTTTTTTTTTTTTTATCACCATTTAGTATGTTACCATCAAAACAGCATCCTGGTGTTCACATAAATATGTGTTAACAATACCTATCGTCAAATATGTGACTCAAAGAGCCAACTGCGGCCGAGGATATCTTTTAAGTGTTCTTTTTCTCACAAAGATCCCTGGCATCTGGCATTGACTTTTTAGCCACGTACCTTGAGTCCACAAAAACAATGTACTTCAGCTAAATGGTATTCACACAAAATACATCCTGACAAGCTGCTTTCACTCTCGAGCCTCGAAGAAATTTTGCAGTTTGATTTGAACTATGTTGTAGGTTAAGGAGGTAGGGTCAGGGAAAAGAAGGTGGGAGAGGAGGAAGCGGGCACAATGCTGGTCAAACCCTCTCCCTTCGCCGGCGCTGCATCCATCTCGTCCTCTCCCACCTTCCTTTTTCTTCCCCTACCTTCTTGAGTTGTCACTGACCATATAAAAGGCACGCATTGATATCACTTGTTCGTTTTGTGGCCATGGCGCCAGCAAGGTTTGAGAAACGTATCCTGCTTCACAGGAATTCAGCACTCAACATGGAGAAACTATTGGCAGTGCTGCTGTAATGTCTTTGTCCTCGTCTTTTGCAGCCATCTAAAAACGAGAAATATAATACTAGGAACACAGAGCAACGTCACGCGCCAGTACATAGTGTACTACGAAGGGCAGGTAAATTGACTGCGGAACACGATTTTCTCAATGTCCTCACGGTTCTTTCGGCCAAGTACATACAGATAAGACGATTACCATTAGAAATGTTGAACGCCAATCCGAAATGTTTTTTGGCGGTGTGCCGAGCAAAAGGACATTGCTGCAACAGAAAACATGTGCCATCCTCCGCCTTTGGTGCTTCTGTGTCTGCGCCGAGCTTCCGCAGCCACCAACAGTCAACGCTGCATGGACTGCCCGCCATGCTTTCATGCGTTCCATGTATGATTGGCACGGCATGTGGATGTGTCATGCAAGTGACATCAGCGCTGTTGGCAGTGCCATGCTGGTTGAGCTTTGCTAGGCTCTGACCATTGACAAGCTGTTTTATGCAATAATCGCTCTTGGAAGTCCCCAAACTGTTTTTAGCAATTCAAGTGTCAGATTTTTTTTAGCTATGGTTATACAGGTTTTCTTTTTTAACATTTACAGATTTCAAAGAAAAAGTGAAAGTTATGACAGTTATAAGTTATACGGCCAGGCGGACATTAGATTCATGGAAGAATGCAGCTAAAAGTCCGTGTAGATCATGTGTATCATGCTTCTCTACAGCGCAGCTACATACTTGCGTAGGACAACCCCCATGAAGTGGGGTGGGGGGGCTGCATGCGTGTGTTGGGAGCCCCTCTTGGTTTTACAACTCTACCCTGATGTAAAATTTTAGATTTTAATGCGAACAAGTTGATAACAAAAAAGAACTTGGTCAACATTGATCTTACAACTAGAGATGTAAAAGGAACAAAAATAGAGAACAGCAAAATGTGGAAGAAGACATCTCGCTTCTTTCATTTTCATTTGACTAAGTGACATTGGTCGGCGACTGTAAGACTTTTAATCATAATAGTTATACACCACAGGTCCCGGGGATCATGGCATCGATGAGCTCGCTTTCGCCTTGTCCAAGGTAGCAGCGGAACACTACGGGCAGGCCCAGAGTCACCGCACCGGCTGGCTCACGGGCGTCGTCCTGTACTCTGCACGGCACTGCGTGTGGCTTAATCAGCCAAGCAGAGGGTCACTGCATGACCTTTATGAGGCGTCGCTAGCCATTGTAAGTATATTTTGGACGCTCGTGTCAGGGGATGTACTTTTGTGTTCTACAACAGAACATGTTTGGTGGCAGTTCAGTCTTACCTATTCAGCCATTTCGAAACATAATTTTGTGGCGACTTGGCTTAGGTTTTCTGGCTCGGCCGTCTTTTGCACCAGTGTCTAGGCTCGGCGTAAGCCTCTTTGTTCTTTATTGTCAAGGCTAGTGTAATTTCTGCTACGCCGTCGAAGCAACTTCTGCATGCGAACAAGATGCAAGACGAAGCTACATGCTCGTGCTCAGTGCATGACCACATGTGAAAACTAATAGCGAGTTTGTTTCGCTGCACTCGTGCCCATGCGCAGCCACTCGCAACATGAAGTGAGTTTGTTTCGCCGCCGGCACTCCACACGTGCATGCACTCGCTGCACCCTGAGAATTAAGTGTGTACCTGAATGCACTCCCGTCATGCATCACTTAGGCAGGGAACAAGAGCAGATGACTGGTTTGTCCACCATGCGGGACAGTAGAACTGCAGAAAAAGTGAATTTCTGCTAAAAAAAATGACGTCCCACGAGCAACAAAATCGGACACGAGCTTGAATTGTGTGTCTGCTATTCTATAAAGCAAGCAATCCACAACCTGTGCTTAATTTGCAAGTTTTCAGTCATTTTGTTGCCGTACAGACGTCCAAATACACCGGTGGATAAAGAAAGGTTCAGAACGAACATCAGCCACTGCGAGATATCTCTCACCATGTGTGCGGGGCTAAAGAGTTGGGACGTTAGTTGACAAAGCTTGCCCGGCAGAAACCTGCGACGCGTCCAATCGGGAGCCGAGAAAGCTAAACTGTTTTTACCCGAGGCTTGGATAAAATCACAGTGTTTAATAAGGAGCCATGGAATTTATTTTGGGTGGGATAAATTAATTTAGATTCGTATTTTGCTAATATAGTTGAACCTTTCAAGAACGAAATTCTCGCGGCAACGAAGAAATCTGGCGGCCCCAGCGAACGTCCATAGGGTTCAATGCATTTGCACCCTCTCAACAGCAAAGAGTTTTAAAAAGCAGTCCCGCATTAACGAAAGTTTGAGGTAGTGATCTGCCATAGAGTTATTCAATGTGTCTACCAAGTTGGCATTTTCAAATTCCCTGAGTTTTTCAGGTTTCCTCTGAGTACTTTTGTGAAATTCCCTGAGTGACACAGAACTTTGTTTTAGGTCAAGATGGGCGGACACCATGTCGCCAGATGCCGTCACTCTCTAAAAAGCATGTCATAAAATAAAATAACAACACAATACAGTTTTGATGATAGCGAGTAACTTTTATTAGATTTAAAAAGAAAACAGAACGAAGTGGTTAGTAAAATTGATAGCGAATAAAGTATAAAAAAAGGTAAACTGAGGTTTACGTGACCCCCCCAGGTCTGGTCATGTGACCTCAGGGGGGGGGGTGTCGAGACCTGACGGTGACGCCGCTCAAGCCGGAAACGGGAGCAATAACGGGGAAAGGAAAGGGTAAACAAACATAAGGGGTTCAAAGTGTGATTGCTCAACCCTTGTTGTCAAAACACTCCACCTGACAAAATCTTTTTTTTTTTTTTTTTTTTTTGGGGGGTAAGGAGTCACACAGTGACAGCGGTGTTTGGGAAAATGAGCGCACGCGACCGTTCCAACAGCGGGCACTCCCTGCCCCACGCGCGCAGGTGCCCTTCCCCTTGCTTTTGCCATCCTCCACTTCTTTTGTTTTTATTGGTTGCTTTTTTTAATTTTTATACAATTGCTTTTTCGCTGCGCATCCCCGCGTGCGCATTCCCGGGTGTGCCTATGCTGGCTTGGCGGTCTGCCAGCCCGGCAACCCGAGCTATGTGCTCCCGGCCGGCGCAATCCGACCTAAGGGAGAAGCGAAGAACCGCCTTCGTCTTCGTTCCCTACATCGAGTGTCCCCTCCATGGGAGTTATGGGCATTCGATACAGAAAAACAATGCAATTTTCTAGGGGATGTTTGGACTGTTTCATATAAACAATAATTCGAAATACGGGTGTGATATAACCGGGTTCGACAGTATGTTTGGCCGTCTCCCTTAATTTCCAGATACCTTCGTTCGTTTGGCACATATATCACCGATGCTAGAAAGCGCCGACGTCGTGTTCGCGCTGAGAGTGTCCGACAGTGCACATAAATACACGTGCGAAGCCGTTTTTGCACCATTTTTTTTTCCCCCATAGAAATGCATTACCGGAAGTCAATTTTCGACTGGTTGCTGTCTGCTTCAACTTGCGTCGGCACACTAGCGCCACTTGAACCTCTAGCGTACATTATAATAACCCTATGTGATCTGCAACATTTTTTCGTCACATGAGCCAGTTTGGAACCCAGAATTACGAAAAGTGGAGCAGTACACTCGTCCGGCAAGTTGGGCACATGCGTTTCCAACAAGCATCAGCGCGGCCATTGCTGTTTACATTCGGTGAAAAAATAATAACAATAGCAACTAGATTCTTTTTTTTTTTTTGGTTGGTGAAAACAGCGTTTTGCAAGCCCATCTGTTGGCAACTACCAAGGTATGTGACGTTTCACGTGACGACACCGCCCGCTGCTATTTCGCCGACACCGCAGTTGCTGACGAGCTAATGCTCTTCAGCAACTGACGGATTAGCTCCTCCCGCATCGAATACGCGGCAAAGAAGTTTGTCACATCGCGGCAATTTCAGGCGATCGATTAATTAGTTCTATCCAATTTTTACTAAGAATTGTTTACAAATGTAAAATTGCTCGCTGAAAAGCGCATCACACATTATGTGCAATTGGGACCGAAAAATTAAACATACAAACGGTAGGAATTCATAGCAGGTGTATACCTAATTTTTTGGGATGCTAATTGTCACCGACTTACTAAATTTAAGGCTTCGGTCGCGAGGGGGTCTCGCATGCTTCACGTCGATCGAGTGAACAAGCAGGGATTTCATTGAGACGACTCTGGAAGCCAGCCACCGTCAATGCCAGTTGTTTTGAGGAAATGTTTGTTTACTGGTTTAAAAAGACCAAAAATGAATCAACTTGGGACTAATAAGAAATCAGCACTTACAAAACACATCGGAACCACCAAGATACACGGAGTCGCTTTCACTGAAGTGTTTACTACACAGGTTAGAGATTCCCGAATTTCGCTTTCCTATTTTCAATTTAATGAGACATTTCTTTCTCAGCTTTATTTTGTCTGAATAATAATAAAATAAATACACCCTATTCGCCATGCTAGCTAGATGTTGTAGTGGGGTAAAGCGCTGGATATTCTATTTTAATCGTCCATCTTTTTGTACTGGGGTGGAGAACAGTACATCACCATCCCAGCATTTCGACACCTTAGTGCCAAAAGTGTTTGTTAGCATGACTACGCGTGGCACGGTTTCAAGTATAACTTCACCAAATAAAAACAATGCGCGAAATGGGCTTTGCTGCGCGATACAGCGCATAACGCTGACTGTCGAGCCGAAGGTTCCAAGATCTGCGCAGTCTGTCCCAGTGTGCCCTACCCGTGACGTCAAAAACGACGATGATGATAGCTAGTTAGCGCATGCCGCCAAAGAGTTGTAAACTGCGGACGTTCCGTCCGGAGTTGTCTGTCTTGGATCCTGCTCATTCCGTATCATGTAGGGGAGAGTATGCCATCCTGCTGGCCTACTGTCGCACACTGCCAGTGTTAAACTTTCAGAACTCTATGAGTCGAGAAATTGATGGAGAAGGGGAGACGAGAGTGCAGGGACATCAGAACGCAGAGGCACCTAAACCTAGGTGCCTTTGTCTTCACTGCACTTGTCAAAGACGTTCGAGTGCGAGAGCCAAACGCCGGGGGCGGCCTTTGGCATTTGCATCCCAATACGTTCGACGAGTGCAGTGGAGACAAAGGCAGCCTTTGTTTCTGCTGCACTCGTCGAACACATTCGAATGCAGAACGCCGGTATCCAGCTTTGGGCTCTCGCATTCGAACGTCTTTGACGAGTGCAGTAAAGACAAAGGCACCTAGCTTTAGGTGTACCCACTAATCATTCGAACCAGAGCTCGGGTGTCCTGACATCCACACCTGCTCTCGTCCTCACTTTTCCCTCAGTTTCTTGGCAGATTTTAGGGGAAACTGTGTGGGGGGGGGGGGAAGGGGGGGGGGGGGGGACGGCCCCCCCCTGAAGCCTTCGAGGTTAACTTTTTCTAGAAAAAAATGGACTTATGCCGGCTTTTGTTAGGAAGAAATTAAGTTTTTGACAACGTGACTAGTACACTCGGTTGGAAAACTGCTATAGGAGCCTCCTTTGAAAAAGTGGCTTCAATCCATATGAGAGAATCAAACTAAATGCAATCGCAATGCCACTGTTTCTCCCGCGGTGGCCACTCCGTGAACTACACTGCTGCACTGACTGGTTCCGTAGATTCTCGGAAGGGCCACTGGTGTCATCTCGCAGGGCCATCTTGGAGTAGCTATGCAAGGCAACTTTCATGTTTTGACTTGTTGCTAAAGAGTGGCACTGTTATCATATTTAGTTTGGTCTCGGTGGACGCCAGCAGTCCAGGTTCCAAGGTTGAGTTTCCTAGCTGAGTGTTTTAGTAACGTTGGTTTTTGGTGGCATAACAAATATTAGGTAAACAAAACAGATCTTGCCCTGCGTGTTAGGGTCAGATATTAGTTACTGTTCACCTGATCGACCCCTTTGTTCTCTGCATTCATCATAGGTTTCAAATCGTCCTGATTCATGGGCCAAGCCTTTCAAGACTGCACTCTTAGGCCCAGTCCTTTTTGGTGGATCGGATCTTGCCATCTTCCCCTCTCGTGGCTTCCTGTTGTACTTAAATAAATTGTCATATTTTTTTCTTATGGTGGTGCATACGTTTTGCCACACTTCACAAAAACAGTGTGGTGAATCCATGCCGCAGATTACTGTGAAACGTGCAGGAAGGGTAAACTCCGAAAATGTTTATGGAAAGAAGATAGACATCCCCCATTAATTTTTTCTGGACACTCTAAGCGTGCTATCTACGCAGTATTTCTGCCTATTATGGCATCGGCTTTTGACCATTCACGCTTGCAAGGAAAGGCTATCAGCAAGAAGGGTTACGAAGTCTGTGTTCTGTTTGCATTTAATTACTGAAACAAGATTTATAGACTTTACCAAGTGTATTTTAACATAACTAAATGTTTAAACTTTAGATCTTTATTTTAAACTTTACCATTATTTTAAGAAGTTTTTGCTAGGGTAAATGTTTTCCATAATTTTTTTTTTTTTTTTCTTTTATATATCGGATAAAGGGATTACATTTGTTCTCCGAGTTTTTATAGAAGCCCCATCGCTATCACCATCACTATTTTGATTTTTCCAAGATGGCCGTTTTTGTTTCGCGAACGTTCTGCGAGGAGAGTTCGGCGACTTGCGTGACTTACGAACAGAACTGCCTAATTGGTATGTTAATTTTGGTGGCTACTTATCGCGGAATATCGTGGGTATCTTGTATTTGTACAAGAACTAGTATATAAGGTTCAGATTGTTCGTACAGAACGTTAGCTCGGCGGGTCTAGTCTCTTCTAAATTGCTTGGTTGCCTTTTGTCCACGTTTATTTCCCTCCCAAACCCATCACACACTGGTTCATTTTCTGTTTCCAGTACCTACAATTGAGTAAATTGTTTTAGAGGAGGGGATGCCCAGTTTCAGCAGCTTCAATGTGCGAGGAACACTCCAGCCCCCTCAACAAAGCTGGAGGTGCGGATAGAGTTGAGATTTTAACTGACTAATGAATGCTGCATCGGATGTTATGCAGTAGTAAGTCATGACATTTTTGTATTTATGTCGTGCATCGGCCGTAAAGCGAAACTTACGTTGCGTAGGTTACATAGGACGTAACTAACTTTTATTTTGGGTTCTGTTTGTCATAGCTTTAATTTTCATATTAGGTTACGTCGGACCAAACTTTATTTTTCATATTGGGTACCTTAGATGTAACTCGAAATCTTGGGGTAAGGTTACGCTAGACACTGCGTTGAAAGATGCACTTTTATTTTTTTGAAAAGTATTCTTCAACTTACGGCAGTGGCGAATAGCACTTGTGTTGATGAGATGTTTTGATTCCGCATGTCCGGAAAGTTGCCGGGGCAGCTGTCGACTATCTATATAGGACGGTAATGTTGCAGGTACAAAAGTGAATAATACACCGTGTTGAATATTTATTTATTGGTCTTTTTCGGCAGTGCCGCTTGTGCCTGGACAATGGAAGATGATGCAAAGGCCAAAAGAAAACTACTCTGCATCTGCACTCTGAATAATGTGATGTCTCGGTAGCTACACATGCTTTGTTAAAGGGAAGTTTATTTCGCCACTTGCTAGGCATCATTGAGGTGATTTGGCTGTGTGCCTTTATTTTATGCTAATAGAATGTACTGCACTTACAACTGCTTGTTGTAGGTGCAGCCTACAACAATCGGTTGCAAAGGAGCATAGTTTAGTGAATCCATTCGATTAACATAAGCAAGTCTGGAAGATGCTAAAGACTAGAGCATGATGCACTGAGGCATATTGACCTATGCTTGAGCACCCACTCTCCTCTCTTGGGCTGTAAACCAGGCAAAATGTAAAATTATTCTTGCGAAAACAGCAGGGATGTGGCATGCATAAAAACTTGTCGATCATGCTCTGAATATGCTGGCCGCCCAAGCGAGCGACTCACTGACTGACTGGCTCGGCTTTGCCATCAGCCAAGGCAGGACAAGCAAATGCTAGAGCAAGCAGTCAAGTTCGGTGAATTTTGTTTTTCTAAAAACAAATTTGCTAAAAGGAGATTCGTTGCCATTTCCTCTAAACGGAGTGTCTTCTTGAAAGAATTCAATAAAAAAGGGGGTTTCAAAACTTGTGCTTGGAAAAATAGATGCCTCTGCTCGGGCCGTACACATCAACTTTCTTAGATCTGTCGGTTGACAAGCTCCATAAAAGAGCAGCAGTAAAAAAAAAAAAAAAAAATTGAGACGTTTACAATTTTTTGTAACATGAAATTAGAGCGCAGCGCTTGAGTAGGAGGAGGGGAGGTTATGCCTCTCCTATCCCTCCATACCCTCTCCTCCCCCTCCCATTTAGCAGGCAATTTTCGCTAAAATTCCTGCTAAATTTAGCAAGAATTTCCCCGCTAAATTTAGCGGTTTAAGTTTCCTCTCTAAATCTTGTGGGGAAATTGATGTCACACAACCTCAACACCAATTCAGTTTCCCCGCTATATTTAGCGGGGAAACTGAATTGGTGTTGAGGAAACAACCCTGCTAAATGGCACATGACTTCATGCCACGTCACTCACAAACAAATTCAGTTCCTCAGCTAGATTTAGCAGAAAAATTGACATTGCGTGACCTCAACACAAATTCAATTTCTCACTAAATTCAGCAAGGTGATCATGCAGACGGCGACGCAATGAAGCGTGGAAATGGGCACCTAAGAGCTGCACTCTAAACCAGTTTTTCTCTGTTGCCGGTGCACAAGCAGGTAAGGGCGGATAGCATTCCTAGTGCCAATTCCTTTGCGGTCAACGAAAAACGCTTTTTGAACAACGCTCTTTCTGTTTTAAGTATTGTGCAGGCCTTAAGTTTACTATAAGAACAACAACAACAACAACAAAAAAAAAATCACTTTCCACTGCAGGTAATGTGCATCCAACATTCCACTGGATCTGTCCAAAGGGCAGGCTGATACTGCGGCAGACGCCACTGAGCGGACACACTGCAAAAAGGCGTCGGGCGTTTTCCGAAGTTTGTCAACTGACCTAGATCTGAGAACGTTGGTACATGTATTGCTACCGTTGCCAAGCAGGACTGGAGATTGTTAGAGTGTGAACAATGTTCACACTTTGGTCAATGCAAGCACATCTTTTTTTTTTTAGTAATATTGACTAACAAGATTGCAGCAATCAAACAAGTTAACACCGAAATGTTAAAAGCAATAAAGAAATTAAAGCCCGGCTGTTCTGCGAGTGCAGATTTTATATCTTGCTTTATTTTAAGGGCTGCACTGATTTGTTTGCCCCTTCATTAAAGGGGCCCTGCAACCATATTTAAGCGTCTACCTTTTTTGCGGTTTGCACGTCTCTTGGCGTTCAGGCAAGCCAGCGGGCACGGAGAAAGTAACTAAATGTCAGTGCGTCATATTTTAACCGGCCGACGCAGAAACCTCCTTTACCTACGGGGGCGACCCGCATTGCTGAAAGCGCGCGAAATGCGACGTCTTTGGTCCTGGGCTTACTAGTGGTCGGAGCCGCTAAAAGCTAAAAGAACCGTTTCAATTATTTGTGAAAGTAGTTTTTGTTCAGTATTTTAGACCAGAAAAGAAACAAATGCAGTTTATAAAGTACGGAAACAAGAAACGACCCTTCGACATACCCGCCACCCAAGCGGTGGAAAAGGCGGCGCATACTAGAAAGGTGTAGTGGGATCAGGCAATGACGAGGGCAAGCGTAGAAAGGTCTCGGGTGTATGCGGCGGCGCTGCAGTCGAAAATCCGACCGGTTCCGAGCATTTCAAAGGCCTTCGGCGAGCAGCTTTGGCTTGCGGTTTGGCCCTTTGGCGGTATGGCAGTGCGAAGTGGCTCCCGTTCTGAACTGATCTTTACCCCGTGTTTGCTGTCGTTTGTGACCAATGAAGTGTCATGCCGAATTAGTGTTTAATCGTGCAGCAAATGCAATGCGAGCCCCCCTGGCTGCCCGCTTCATACAGCCTTTCCAGAACATGCTATATGGCGCCCTCTCGAGCTGTTGACACGGAGCGCTCGCTGAGCTCACTTAGCCCTCTTCTAGTTCATGGCCACTCGAGCGACCAAGGACGTCATGAAAAAGGTTATGTTTTGCTTGTTCTTGTAATTTTAATTTGCCTATAACTTTTAAAATAAAGCGAAATTCGAGAAAAGAAAAGTTTAATTAAGTTGCACTGACTACGTTCAGTGCGCTCAGGTTCGGTGCAAATGAAAAACCAGTCAAAAAGCCCTTGCAGGGCCCCTTTAAAGCATGCATTTCATCTCCGAGAAGTTGTGATTTTTCATTGTTGTGGAAGAGGTCTCATAGCACCAGTGAAGGACGATGGTGATATATCTAGGGTAGACAGTCACTGCCTGGGTCTTTAATATAAGCTTTGAAAGAGTCTATAGTCAGTTGCAACCTAAGAACGAAGGGCGAGGGTAAGACGGGTTGGGGAGGAGGAAGCAGGCGGAGCACTAAAGAGAGAAGGAGGTTTCCCCCTCTCTTCTCCAGCGTTCCGTCTGCTTCCTCCTCCCCGGCCCATCTTACCCTCGCCCTTAGGTTGCAACGGACTATAGATAGTTGTACACAGACATGGGTCTCTTTACTCCAGTTAAAAACAGCACCATTCAATGGAATTTTTTTAGGTTGTCAGTAGAAATGTTTTTGTAAACTTGAATACAAGGCACCATCCGTTTTTCTCACTGAAGCAAGTAGATATTTTTTCTTTCTATTTATAACTAGCTTTTGACAAGATCAATTACAAATTGCTTTTGTAAAAACCTTTATTGTATGGTGTAGCACTGCCACTTTTAAAATGGTTTAATGACTAAGTCCCTCACAAGATGAGAATGGCTATGAGAAGCCTCAGTTGCCCTGCCTCCAGCAAGAGAGCTTCCTACCTTCGGCAACGCGTAGAGGCGGGACATTTGTAAGACACACCCAGCCATTCGCATTCCATTCAGCAATGCTTAGGCATCTTGCAAACCTCAAGAATGCACGCACAGCCAAAGCATGAGGAAAGGCGATGAGTGCTCGCTGGAGGCTGAGCTATAAGACATGCCCTGCATTTCTCATCTTCCCTGCGATTATTAACACCGAGATGTTCTGGTGATATCCTATTTCGCTCGCAACATCACGGGCGGTTTGATACTTCAACCCTATGTTCCAGGTGAGAAAAAAAAAAGTGCCTTTCATGGAAGGCTTGTCAAAATAATAGGCGCCAGAGAGTAACGGCTATCTGCGTTCAGTCCTTATTTAGAACCCTATGTTCTTGTTCTGTGGCCGCATTGAAAAGTACTGCAAGAGAGCCCAAGTGTGCTCCTGATCTCGCCCCACCAGTCTCCTCCTGCACAATAAATTGACTGCTACGGTCACCAAATGTCAATAGATGCACATTCGAACGCAGCAACTGAAGCCAGCTACAAACACAGTATCTTTCAAAGTATCTTTGAAAGATATCTTTGTATCAAAGCTACAGACACAGTATCTTTCCAAACAGACTGCAGGTCACCCCTCACTTGGGCGAGGGGGGTGACTCGTGTGGTCTGCTTCTGCGGTCTCCAAAAATATTTTCGTAAACAACTCCCACATCTACCTACAGTAAAATAAGCAATATTCAAAACTTAGAAAAAAAAAAAAAAAAGCCGTTTACGACTCCCTGTAACGCCGGATTAGAGCGCAGCTCTTGAGGAGGAGGATGAAAGGATACGGAGGGATGGGTGACGCCCTGAGGGCCCCCTCGCTTTCGCGCTGCGGGACAGTCCCAGACACGAAGCTTTGAGGTTCTCCGGCGCGGGCTGCGGCACCCCAACACATGTGTGCTGGGCTGTACATATCTGTTTTTTCGTTCTTTTTTTTTTCCTCGGGTGCTTAAAAGCCGAAGTCCAAAGTCTACTCGTCGAACAGCGTTCACCCACACCTTCTCCAGTTTTTGGTCCGTTGGAAACTAGTGAAAAAGCACCTCCGTGTTGCACAGCGGGTTGTTTGAGCAGCCCACAGCGCTACAAGTTGTACTCGGCATCTTTTGAGGAACAGCTGGGCAGTCTTGGGCGCACCAAGTTGCTCGCTAAAACGAGTCTTGGAGTCCTCACAAGCAGATAAACAAAAGGCTATAGCGAAGCTACATGGGCTACAGATAAAATCAACGGCTAAACACGCCAATCACAAGCCGAAGTACCGGTGGTAGCGGCTCGAAGAAACGCACTCCGCGCAACGCCCGGGCCGGAGGAAAAGAGAACGATACTGACGTCACGGCGCAATGTTGCTTTAGCGATCGCCAACCCGCTGGCCGCCCGCTAAGAAGCAGCGGCTTGCGGCAGGTCACATTTTTATTATCGGCATTAGTTGAGAATGCGGCGTCCCACGGACGTAATATTTTGGCTGAGGTCGTATTTTGTGTCTACAACGATACCAGTAATTTATTTCATTTTGAGTTTTGACCGGAGTTGCCCTTTAAGTTGGTCAGAGTATCTGACTGCAAAGGGTTAATAATCCATTTTTAATCGACATAGAGGCGAACTAACTAGCCACTCGGCGCTTTGACGTAGCGCGTCGTCTGCTCGATCCTACCAGCACCGCTACAGGAAGGCGTCCGCGAGATGAAACCACCAAAACATCTCGTCGCCAATGGTGACACAGTGGTCGAGTCTAACATGTGAGCTAGGGCCGGCTCACGTGCTTTGGGTACCACGGATGTGTCGCACTGAAAATGCGGAAAGCTTTTGAGGGAAAGGAAGTACAAAATAGTCCGTCATGTTTTCGAATTTTCGTACCGAAAAGCAGACTTTTGACTCTCGGCCCACTGAACAATATGTTACAGTTGAACCCCGTTGTCACAGGGTTCTTTGTGGTTAATAATTGACAAAATACAATGTCCTTCGTTTTTCATGAAAACTTGTATTTACAAAAAAAAATCAAAGGGTTCATATGCTTATACAAAAAAAAGAAAACTTAGTTAAAGAAAGGAAAACGCATCAGTCACCATGTCTTTGAGTCCCTGTGCAGCAGTGTGTCTTGTGCTGTCGTTGTCGGCCCACGGTTGTGGCTGGAAGTCAGGAGCGGGAGCGGTTGGCTTCCGTCGGCGGCCCCAGAGTTACCGCACCAAGCGCTCCCGCTGTAGGAAGCCGGGGGCAGCGTAGGTTTCTATTCGCTGCCCTCGCTGGAACAGGCTGCTGGTCAGACAGTAGGAGGCCGCCGATTGCCCTGGCCGATCGTGTCGTTCCGCTCTCTGCACAATCTCCCGGCCAGTCCTTTTCACGCCCTCTGAGCACGCACTCCAAAATCTCTCTTCTTCGTTTCTCCCTCCAGGCCGATCCATGGGTTGACTTGCACTTCTTTTCCACATTAAGTCACATCATCACACCCGTAATAACCAAACCGCGGGGGAAGGAAACGTTTTTCGTTCTCGCAAGAATTTTGCTGCTGCAGAAATGGACAACTAAGCACACCTATTACTTTTCATGATGCTGTCCTTGGATTTCAGAATCGTAGAAAGCGAGAAGCAAAGGATACTGAACTCCTCTGTAATATCAGACTTCTTTCTGGCTTTGGCAGTGATCGCAGAGTTCTCCTGAAGTGCAAAAAACTTAAACTTTTTAATGGGAGGCGGCATCTTTCCGACAGGCCAAACGAAAGGTAGTAAACAAGGCGCGAGCGATCTCGGCGTGCACGCGGCGGACGGCGAAATAGCAGCAGGCGGTGTCGTCACGTACCTAGGTAGTTGCCAACAGATGGGCTAGCAAAACGCTGTTTTCACCAACCCCCAAAAAAAAGCATCTAGTTGCCATTGTCATCATTATTTGACCGAATGTAAACAGCAATGGCCGCGCCGATGCTTGTCGGAAACGTATGTGCCCAACTTGTCGGACGAGTGTACTGCTCCATTTTTCACAATTCTCGGTTCCAAACTGGCTCATTTGACGAAAAAATGTTGCAGATCGCGTAGGGTTATTGTAATGTACGCTAGAGGTTCAAGTGGTGCTAGTGTGCCGACGCAAGTTGAAGCAGACAGCAAAAAGTCGAAAATTGACTTCCGGTAATGCATTTCTATGGGGAAAAAAAAAACGGTGCAAAAACGGCTTCGCACGTGTATTTATGTGCACTGTCGGACACTCTCAGCGCGAACACAACGTCGGCGCTTTCTAGCATCGGGGATATACGTGCCAAACGAACGAAGGTATCTGGAAATTAAGGGAGACGGCCAAACATACTGTCGAACCCGGTTATATCACACCCGTATTTCGAATTATTGTTTATATGAAACAGTCCAAACATCCCCTAGAAAATTGCATTGTTTTTCTGTATCGAATGTCCATAACTCCCATGGAGGGGACACTCGATGTAGCGAACGAAGGCCGTTCTTCGCTTCTCCCTATAGGTTGGATTGCGCCGGCAGGGAGCACACAGCTCGGGTTGCAAGGCTGGCAGACCGCCAACCCAGCATACGCGCACGCGGGGATGCGCAGCGAAAAAGCAATTGTATAAAAAATAAAAAAAGCAACCAATAAAAACAAAAGAAGTGGAGGATGGCAAAAGCAAGGGGAAGGGCACCTGCGCGCGTGGGGAGGGCAGGGAGTGCCCGCTGTTGGAACAGTCGCGTGCAAACACCGCTGTCACTGTGCGACTCCTTAGCCCCAAAATAAAAAAAAAAAAAAAGAAAAAAAAAAAGATTTTGTTAGGTGGAGTGTTTTGACAACAAGGGTTGAGCAATCGCACTTTGAACGCCTTATGTTTGTTTACCCTTTCCTTTCCCTGTTATTGCTCCCGTTTCCGGCTTGAGCGGCGTCGCCGTCAGGTCTCGACACCCCCCCCCCCCCGAGGTCACATGACCAGACCTGGGGGGGGGTCACGTAAACCTCAGTTTACCTTTTTTTATACTTTATTCGCTATCAATTTTACTAACCACTTCGTTCTGTTTTCTTTTTAAATCTAATAAAAGTTACTCGCTATCATCAAAACTGTATTGTGTTGTTATTTTATTTTATGACATACTTTTTAGAGAGTGACAGCATGTGGCGACATGGTGTCCGCCCATCTTGACCTAAAACAAAGTTCTGTGTCACTCAGGGAATTTCACAAAAGTACTCAGAGGAAACCTGAAAAACTCAGGGAATTTGAAAATGCCAACTTGGTAGACACATTGAATAACTCTATGGCAGATCACTACCTCAAACTTTCGTTAATGCGGGACTGCTTTTTAAAACTCTTTGCTGTTGAGAGGGTGCAAATGCATTGAACCCTATGGACGTTCGCTGGGGCCGCCAGATTTCTTCGTTGCCGCGAGAATTTCGTTCTTGAAAGGTTCAACTGTATTAGCAAAATACGAATCTAAATTAATTTATCCCACCCAAAATAAATTCCATGGCTCCTTTTTAAACACTGTGATTTTATCCAAGCCTCGGGTAAAAACAGTTTAGCTTTCTCGGCTCCCGACTGGACGTGTCGCAGGTTTCTGCCGGGCAAGCTTTGTCAACTAACGTCCCAACTCTTTAGCCCCGCACGGATGGTGAGAGATATCTCGCGGTGGCTGATGTTCGTTCTGAACCTTTCTTTATCCACCGGTGTATATGGACGTCTGTACAGCAAAAAAATGACTGAAAACTTGCAAGTTAAGCACAGGTTGTGGATTGCTTGCTTTATAGAATAGCAGACACACAATTCAAGCTCGTGTCCGATTTTGTTGCTCGTGGGACGTCATTTTTTTAGCAGAAAGTTCACTTTTTCTGCAGTTCTACTGTCCCGCATGGTGGACAAACCAGTCATCTGCTCTTGTTCCCTGCCTAAGTGATGCATGACGGGAGTGCATTCAGGTACACACTTAATTCTCAGGGCGCAGCGAGCGCATGCACGTGTGGAGTGCCGGCGGCGAAACAAACTCACTTCATGTTGCAAGTGGGTGCGCATGGGCACGATTGCAGCGAAACAAACTCTCTATTAGTTTTCACATGTGGTCATGCACTGTGCACGAGCATGTAGCTTCGTCTTGCATCTTGTTCGCATGCAGAAGTTGCTTCGACGGCGTAGCAGAAATTACACTAGCCTTGACAATAAAGAACAAAGAGGCTTACGCCGAGCCTAGACACTGGTGCAAAAGACGGCCGAGCCAGAAAACCTAAGCCAAGTCGCCACAAAATTATGTTTCGAAATGGCTGAATTGGCAAGACTGAACCGCCACCAAACATGTTCTGTTGTAGAACACAAAAGTACATCCCCTGACACGAGGGTCCAAAATATACTTACAATGGCTAGCGACGCCTCATAAAGGTCATGCAGTGACCCTCTGCTTGGCTGGTTAAGCCACACGCAGTGCCGTGCAGAGTACAGGACGACGCCCGTGAGCCAGCCGGTGCGGTGACTCCGGGCCTGCCCGTAGTGTTCCGCTGCTACCTTGGACAAGGCGAAAGCGAGCTCATCGATGCCATGATCCCCGGGACCTGTGGTGTATAACTATTGTGATTAAAAGTCTTACAGTCGCCGACCAATGTCACTTAATGAAATGAAAATGAAAGAAGCGAGATGTCTTCTTCCACATTTTGCTGTTCTCTATTTTTGTTCCTTTTACATCTCGAGTTGTAAGATCAATGTTGACCAAGTACTTTTTTGTTATCAACTTGTTCGCATTAAAATCTAAAATTTTACAACAGGGTAGAGTTGTAAAACCAAGAGGGGCTACCCAACACACGCATGCAGCCCCCCCACCCCACTTCATGGGGGTGGTCCTACGCAAGTATGTAGCTGCGCTGCAGAGAAGCATGATACACATGATCTACACGGACTTTTAGCTGCATTCTTCCATGAATCTAATGTCCGCCTGGCCGTATAACTTATAACTGTCATAACTTTCACTTTTTCTTTGAAATCTGTAAATGTTAAAAAAAGAAAACCTGTATAACCATAGCTAAAAAAAATCTGACACTTGAATTGCTAAAAACAGTTTGGGGACTTCCAAGAGCGATTATTGCATAAAACAGCTTGTCAATGGTCAGAGCCTAGCAAAGCTCAACCAGCATGGCACTGCCAACAGCGCTGATGTCACTTGCATGACACATCCACATGCCGTGCCAATCATACATGGAACGCATGAAAGCATGGCGGGCAGTCCATGCAGCGTTGACTGTTGGTGGCTGCGGAAGCTCGGCACAGACACAGAAGCACCAAAGGCGGAGGATGGCACATGTTTTCTGTTGCAGCAATGTCCTTTTGCTCGGCACACCACCAAAAAACATTTCGGATTGGCGTTCAACATTTCTAATGGTAATCGTCTTATCTGTATGTACTTGGCCGAAAGAACCGTGAGGACATTGAGAAAATCGTGTTCCGCAGTCAATTTACCTGCCCTTCGTAGTACACTATGTACTGGCGCGTGACGTTGCTCTGTGTTCCTAGTATTATATTTCTCTTTTTTAGATGGCTGCAAAAGACGAGGACAAAGACATTACAGCAGCACTGCCAATAGTTTCTCCATGTTGAGTGCTGAATTCCTGTGAAGCAGGATACGTTTCTCAAACCTTGCTGGCGCCATGGCCACAAAACAAACAAGTGATATCAATGCATGCCTTTTATATGGTCGGTGACAACTCAAGAAGGTAGGGGAAGAAAAAGGAAGGTGGGAGAGGAGGAGATGGATGCAACGCCGGCGAAGGGAGAGGGTTTGACCAGCATTGTGCCCGCTTCCTCCTCTCCCACCTTCTTTTCCCTGACCCTACCTCCTTAACCTGCAACATAGTTCAAATCAAACTGCAAAATTTCTTCGAGGCTCGAGAGTGAAAGCAGCTTGTCAGGATGTATTTTGTGTGAATACCATTTAGCTGAAGCACATTGTTTTTGTGGACTCAAGGTATGTGGCTAAAAAGTCAATGCCAGGGATCTTTGTGAGAAAAAGAACACTTAAAAGATATCCTCGGCCGCAGTTGGCTCTTTGAGTCACATATTTGACGATAGGTATTGTTTACACATATTTATGTGAACACCAGGATGCTGTTTTGATGGTAACATACTAAATGGTGATAAAAAAAAAAAAAAAAACAAAGCTGGGAGTAGAAGCACATTATCTACCTTTCCCTACCAAAGAACAATGAAACGATTAGTCACCTGCTCAGGACTTTGGTCGTCTGCTTAGTTGTGGGCGACGCCTCTGCGAGCATCAACGACAGCCCCCATTCTAGCGTGCAGAGAGCCATACAGTGCTTCTGTAAAGGATGCCTTCACCATCAGACTTTTAACAGAGCGGTCACTCCTTTTTTTTTTCTGCGCACCGAACGAAAGGACGGTACAGTAGCAGACGACGCCAGCGTGCACGGCTGCTGGCGTCACTGCGTGTGCTCCAAGCTTCCGCGGGTGCTTGCGGTCCTCGCTGCATGGAGCACTGGCTACGCACTCGCGTTCTCCCTTCAAGATTGGACTGCTCAGTGCACCGCTAGGAAAAGCAGTACAAAACATACCGCGACGATGCATCAGGGGCATGCACTGGTCCCCTGAAGTGTGCTTCGAACCATGTGCAGTGCAGGGTGCAGCACAGCATCCGCGTGAGTCAGCCGCGGCAGTGATTCGGGGCTCGTAGTGTTCTGCGACTGCCTTGAAAAAGTGAGGGCCAGCTCTTCGCACCTCCTCTGAAAAATGTTTTACAACAGAGAGGTCAGTTAACTCCCTGCCTCTCATTGCCTTTCTGCTGTCCTGTCCTTTGTTCGAGAGCAATCGCTGCTATATTGTGTCTCAGCACGATCACCTTAGTCATACAAAGGAACGTGCAGATAAAGATCATTATTATTAAAGCACGTTTTACCTTCACATTCAAACTTCGGGCCTCCTGCTTTCTCCTCGCGTGTGGCGGCAAGCGTCTGTTGAGGCTACCATGCTTCGAGATGATCCTCGCGTGGTTCAGACCTGCGTTAGATTTTTTTTTTTTTTTTAATTACGCCCTGGCAGCTCGTTTAAGCGCCTCTCGGCGTGTTCCCGCGCAGACAGTGACAGGCGAAGCATCAGATTCTACGCTTGCTTCGTTGGGCCTTCCTGTCTCGTTGAAAAACTGGATCGAAGTCTGTGTCGATGGCATGCAATCATTGCTATAGCGACTTGTTGAGCACTTGCGGTCATACGGAAGCTTCCAAAATTGTGAGCGCGCTCCTAAGCCTTTGCGGAGGGCTCTGCTAGCCGTCACGTCCGCATGTTCTACCGAACGATTTCGGGCGAGCGGTTGGTAAAGGCAGCTCAAGAAACAAAACGACACATTGAGCGCACGAAACCCAATTCAAATCCGCTTGGATGGCATCAGCATTCAGCACCGACCGACCATTCCCGCCATTTCTGGTAGCGCCTTTGTTCCCGGACGCACCGGACTAAATTATGTCAAACGACTCCAAACGGAACTGAAGCACTAAAGTGCGGTGAACACTCACCTTTATGAAGAGTAAAGCTATACGCACTCCGGAGTGCGCTTCGCGCGGAAATGGCTATACGCACTCCTCCGAGAGATCATGCCGCTCGGGCCACCCTTTTCGAACGGCGCGTGAATCACTGGGGCGCTCGTTAACACAGCCCCCCCGCCTGCGTTCACGCCGCTTCGCGGCGACAGTATCGGCTGCTAATTACAAAGCGTAACCAGTACACGCCGCTTCGCGGCGTCCAGCCGGCAATCCAAGCCCCGCTGTCCCCGATCGCACCTCCGGAAAGGGAGTCCGATACCATTTAGTTCTGCGAAGTTTCTCGACAACATTCAATTGTTTTTTTTTTTTTTTTGTGTTTCTACTGTTCATCGCAAAAAAAGGAAATGTAAATATCGCCAAATGCCTCGACAAAATAAAATGTTTGAGAAAAAAAAAAAAAAAGTAGGCCCACCGCGGATCGAACCCGCGTCCACTTGCGTATGAAGCGGACACCCTAACCCCTATGCCATGGCACCGCTTAGGAAACCCGTTGTGTCCACTCTTTTTATACGAGAAAAGCGGAGTGCGTATAGCCATTTCCGTCCGAAGTGCACTCCGGAGTGCGTATAGCTTTACTCTTTATGAATACCTCCTGTTCTTGGTGTTCTTGGAGATGTACGAGAGGTATTTGGCGGCTCTGGCGGTTCGCGATCGACGCCGGCACTCATCCGGCGAAGCTGAGTGCATACATTGTTTTTGTTGTCAACGGCTGCCACTGCGCACGGTCAACCTCGTTCCACTCGAGAACTTGAGCTGCTTCAGCTGGTTATCGACGGTTAATACGTCGCCACCCAACACCTGAACGTAGAACGAAAACAAAAACATTGCCCCCGCGGCCAAGGGCGCCAAGGCGGAACAGAACGGAACCGTACCAGCCAAAATTAAAGAATCAAGCAAGGAAAATAAAAAAAAAAAAGTAAAAACAAACAAAAACAAGAAAAGTACCTTTTTATATATATTTACTTTAAAACGTTATCTAAAAATCAACAAAATAACAAAACCGGAAGTGACGTCATTTTTTTTCAGCCAATCGGCGTTTCCAGTTTTACTGCCCCGAAACGCTTGTCTCGGGACCACTGATCTGTGCTCGGGACCCCTAGAGCACTATATAGCTCCTTCGGAGCAGAGTAGCGCAGTATAAACGGCTCTGGAGTAGCGCAATCTAGAACGCCGCCTCTCGGCGACTAGCGGCGAACGCCCGGAGGTTCCAACTGTGGTCAGAAATGCATGGAGAACGTGAGAAAATCGTTGTTTCTTCAGTATTGTGGGGTTGTACGGAATGGCAATTATTTTTGACATAATAATGGAACATTTTAGAATAACTTGTGCTAAGTTTTGTGCCCCGCAAGGACGTGACTTTTTTTTAAAAATTGCCTGAGCGGCATCATGCAGCAGACGACACGGCGACGTCACACCATTCACGTGACCCGCTCCGGCCAACCCGAAAAGCCCATCTCCGCTGCGAGCAAAAATCGTCTGCTTCAAACGCCATTGCCTTGGAAATTGCCTTCTCAAAATTTGCACACGCATCCGATATTATTAAAACTTTGATAAATGGTTTAGTGCTTTACTAACTTCACGACAGACTAGTTTTGAAAAGTGTGAACTCGCCGTTCATTTTTTAATCAGCCGTGTTGTGTCGATCCCCATGTATTCTCCCATAGGGCGGGCCGCCTCCTGGAACCCTGAGCACCACGTGACTCACGCCGAGCCGCTCTGTCGGCCATGTTGTCGGCAAAACACGGGGTTCAAAGGATTGCGCTACTCTGCTCCGTAGGAGCTATATAGTGCTCTAGGGACCCCGGGTGTCGGCGCACGGGATTTGCCACTCCTCCTCACCCACCTTTACCCCCCCTGGTACCAGGAGTTATTTCTCTAAAGCTGACGAGATCTGCGCGTAGTTCAACAACCTGCAAGTTTTATCTCATGGCCGCCAGTGGCCGCCACGGCCGCCACGCCTTGCCGCGGTGCCAGGAACTCGTCTCCAACAGGTCTGTTTAGCGTCCTATCCCGCCCATACATCAAAAGTGGTCCCGAAGTGGCAACAAATGACGTCACAGAAACCGAAGTGTCATACTGTTGGATGTTGCGATCCTGGCGGTTGGTCGTAGAAATGCTGGCGAAAAGCACGAGCGAACGTGAGTGTCGCTGTCGTCATGTCGTCCCCAGTCGTCCCAACTTCTGGCTGCTGATGCTTCTGTGGGCTGTCACACCAGAGAGCGACCTGCATCAGAACAGGCGTCTGCTACATCCACCACCGCTGCTAGAACACCGCCAGGACCGGGACCGCCGACAACATGACACTTTTATGACGTCACCAAGCGGAAATTGAGGGACCACTGTTTTGGACGCGGTAAACACACCAGTCTGAGACGGCACCATGACGCCACTGCTTTCTTATCTTTTTTTTCTTTTTCTTTTATAATTTGAACACGTACTGACGTTACCTGCCGGAGGACCAAGGCAATGTTTCTTGGGTTTAAATAAAGCATTAAAAGTATACACCCTGCCTTTTATATTGTGTAAGCATTGCCAATCGTTGTATAAAATATTTAAAAAGAACTACTTTATAAATTATATCTTCATTAAAATTGTCTTTTTTTTATTTATTTTTATTTTTTATAGAGAAGACGGCCAACGCTATCCGTAAGTCGAACTTCGTCGAACTTTACCAAACGGTCGGAGGCCTGCCTTGTCCCAGGTTTCGCCGAACCAGTAGACCTCAGGACTCAGGTGACTCAGGTGCCTCAGGTTCGACCGTTGGGTTCGACAAAAGTTCGCGACACCGATCCCCCGATCGTCAATGCCCCACTTGACTTCCCCTTTCCCCTTTCCTATTTTCTCCTCTACCTCTGTCGCCTCCGTCCGGGTGTTTCTTCGCAAATGTCGACGGCGCAGTCATCCTTGGCAAGACTTGGGCGCATTTGCCTTTAACCACGATGTGCAACATCGAGTGAGCAGAGGCAGGCCAACGATGGTGAATGGTCAACTCTCTTTGCTCTATGAAAAAGAAAAGAAAAGGAAAGAAAAACAAGAACGGTCTGTGTCTTTTAAAATACTCGTGGCCGCGAACACTGCGAAGGCCACTTAACTTGCCGTTGTCACTTCGCATATATTTAGGGGGGGGGGATTTATGTGTTGAGGATTATTAGCGGCTGTGTTATTGCGTGGGAAATATTTTTGAAAGGGATTAACGGCAGCCGAATAGGGATGCGGTTGAACTTTGATGTTTCGACGTCGGAGCTCGATTCCTCCGATAACGCACCTTGTTAATTTAATTGCGTCTTCGTCGACGGTAATGTGATCAGCTGCTATATATGTTTCGTGGTATCAGAATTCGTTCTTATGTGCTGTGCTACGTCAAAGATTCAGTATACCGTATTTCGCATGTGTGCACACTGCACTTTCCCATTTTTCTCTCAACTATGGCACATCCTGAAGTGGCTGTTCTCATTGTTTTCAGGATGACCCATAATGTGGTGTGCGCGAACACTCGTCTACGTCACCATGCCAACTCCGAAGACTCGTGTGTGGAAACTACTCATTCTGTGTGGGGCAATTGGGTCCCTCTTTTTTTTCTATAGGGCTACTAACAGTCTTTCTGTGCAATTATCTCCAGTTATTAAACAAGTCAGTGTTGTGTCACAGCCGAGCCCTAAGGCAGGACAGATGCCTGGGCAGACACTGGAAGATTCTCGCTCGGCATTGGCTACGACACCAGGCATTTCACGTATTGAGCGATTGCAAGATAAAATCCGCCTGACACCAGTGCCCTTGAAGCAAGTATTGGTACATTTTGATCTGAAAGGCGCACCTCCCAAGGCAGACTTCTACGACGCAGCATTTCCGCTCTTACGGAAGCTTGGGGCCACTGGCGTGCTTATGGAATATGAAGACATGTTTCCTTACTGGGGAGCATTGAAGGCCCTGTCTGCAAAGAATGCTTACAACCGCAGTGAACTTGCTCACATATTGTCTGTTGCACATAAAAACAACTTGAAGGTAGTGCCACTGGTGCAAACCTTCGGCCACCTAGAGTTTGCCCTCAAGCTGCACGAGTTCATAGAATTGCGAGAGCTGAGCGACAGCCCACAAGCGCTGTGCCCATCCCTCAACAGTTCCCTTGGCCTGGTGAAAACCATGCTTGACCAAGTGCTCAGCCTGCACCCAGATACAGAGTATGTGCATATTGGGTGCGATGAAGTCTACTCCCTGGGCCGGTGTCCACGCTGCGAGGAAAGGCTCCAGCTGCCGGGCACGTCTCGGGACACTCTCTTTCTCGACCATGTGAAAAGTGTGGCCCAGCACGTTGTGCGTGCGGGGGTGCGTCCAATTATGTGGGACGACATGCTGCGTGGCATGGAGCCAGACAGTGTACGCCGCTGGAATGCATCCCAGCTCGTGGACCTCATGGTCTGGAGCTACACCCCCAACATCAGCAAGGACCTCGATGCCAAGATATGGGACAAATATTCCCAGTTTGGAGGCGTGTGGGTGGCAAGTGCTTTCAAGGGTGCAACAGGTGCCAAGCAACTCCTGCCAGACATCGGATATCACCTGAAGAATCACCACTCGTGGCTCAGGGCCCTGGAGGACCACGGGCAGAGTTGGCCACTGCGTGGTATTGCACTGACTGGCTGGCAGCGGTACGACCACTTTGCCACCCTCTGCGAGCTGTTTCCTGCAAGCATACCCTCTTTGGCGGCCAACCTGGTTTACCTCCAACGTGGACGCCTGGATACTCCCGAGTTGCATTCAATCAAGGCGCTGCTTGGCTGCAACAGGCCCATCCCTGTGTTTGGTCACACGGACGCTCACTTCCTATTTTGCCGCTTTCCTGGAGCCAAGGTGCTCACTGGAGTGCAGCAGCTGACGGGACTTCTTAGGCAGAAGCAGATCATGGAGAAGAACTCTAATTATGTGGGCTGGCTCGGTAGCTACAATATTCGGCACTTATTTGGAAGTCCCGACCACGTACGTGATGCCACTCGAAACTTAAGTGAGCTTTTGGGCACAGCAAATCACTTGCAAAGATTTTTGGGCGACGCACTAAGTGAAGTTTATGATTCATACACAGTGGCAGAGTGGATGGGCATCTTCCTGGAGCCAGTATTGAGACAGCTGAACCTGCTAGACCAGCAGACTCAAGACTTGCTGAATATTAACACCTGGCCTCGCAGGCCTCTGGAAACTACCAACTGAGATTAATTCAACTCGTTGCATTGAAAAGTGCCTTGTGCCTGTATGTTCAGGATGGTCTTGCGTGGCAACATTTTGAAGAGCGCATGGTTCAGGGTACATTGGCCAATCGGTGTTAACATTGTTACATGGTCACCATAGCTCTAGTCACTGACAAGGAGAGAATGACCCAGGGCATCTCTTTCAAATCTCTGGCCTTCAGCGTTGCCTTTGGTTCTTCTTGGTTGCGCCTGCACGCTCGAGGCTCACGAGACGCCCAAGAGTTATCCAAGGTAGGACAACTTGAACCCCCGGTCGCTCTTGTCCCGTCGGTGACTAATGTTTTCTGTGCATGTCTTAATAATTCCTTTTAATTAGGCATAATCAATGCATTCATGTTTTCTTGTTAGACTGAATGAAATAAAGTTTGCAAAAAGCATTGAATAATTTTTTTTATACTCAGAATAAATGTTTAAGGTCTATAAAATTACCAAGTAGACCTGGGTTTGGCAATACTTGGGCCAGAATGTTTGTAAATGATGAAAGGAAAAGTAGAACTGCTACACTTTGTAAGGGCTATTTGACAAATACATTACATACAAACTATAAAATAACTTCATTTGGCACAACAATTTGATCGTAGAACATGGAACTATGTCAAGGAAAAGGAACGTAGTTTAACAAGGCAGTAAGTGTGGCGAGTTGGTTGATCATCTTCAAAAGTGGAAACAGTGCAAAAAAATAAAGGACGAGTAAAAGAAGTGCACGGATACAGCTGAAGGAAAAGGAAGTATGAGGCTCGTTAATTCTTAGTGTGTTACTTTTTTTGCCGGTAAACAATTAAAAATGGTTCATGATGCAAGAGTGGTTTTTAAATGTTGTTTTATTTGCTATTTCATTAGCAAAAACTGTGTTTCCAGACAAACCTTAAAATATGTTTTGTTATCTTGGGGAATTGTGTTGGAATCTTCCACAGAAGCTGGTAGGTCTCCGTGGGTAGAAAGCCGTATGTCCTGCTTCAATGATCTAGGTGGAGTTGCACTTTGCTAGTGACTAGGTTACTAAGCTAAGATACTTTCACAGGTCCTGCATAATATTCCATGTAGCTTGTGGCACTTCTATTATGGCAGCATGAGCCATAAATGCTTCTAATATGAGTACATTCCAAATTCTTTTTTTTCAAGGATATTGCACAAAACGTCGGGGCCTCTCGCATATGTAGGTGTAAACCTTCTTATAGGGCATGCAGGTTTTAGACAGCATTTAATTTACTGAACTACTTCAACTGGTCTCGCTGCTTTACAGATTAATGTATAAATCGCAGTAACCAGTTTACATGCTGCAGGTTTGTTTCTGTTGCAAACATGGACATTGGCAAGTTTAGGAGCATGCATTAGTTAAACACCAGGTCTTTATAGCAAGAAAGGAGATATACCAGTGAAACTCTGCAATTGGTAGTGGAGCGAACCAGGGTATGCCTGTCTGCCCGATCAAAGTTTGACTTGACCAGTTCAAAGTACTTCCCGTCGCAAAGAACCAGACAGCGCAATCGCAAACACTTGACTCTGACTGTATCGATGGCCTTGCTGCTTCGATCGCTGAACCGCAGGGTCTCACTGTCCCAACCAATCTCGAGTCGTTCAATTTCTGGGCAGTTGTTAGCAATGGCATCCAACATGGAGTCAATGTGAATTTTTTGGTGAATCTTCTTGCAGCAGCCAGTGGCCATACCTGCAACCAAGATCCTACAAACACAGCAATAAATATTATTAGAGCCCTGAGGCTTATAATTAGGGTTCCGTGTTTTCGGAGTTTATTTTTCGTCAAATTCGAAGGGTGTTTTTCGAAGTTTATTTTTTGCCAAAGATTCAGAGCTTATCAGAGTTTATATTTGTTTGATCCCCAATTCTCCGAAATTCGGAGATTAATTTTAAAGTTTCTCCTAAGAAAAAAATAAATAATAACCGGATGCAAACATATGCCAGATAAAAAATAAAACGCGCTTGTATCAATTAAGATTTCTTCAGTTGAATTTGGCGTTGGTGTCATTGGCAATACTAATTTGTCCCAAAAGTCGCACACAAGTGTGGCTTCGATAAACGTAGATACCTTAAAATCAATAAACTGCTGGAGGTAACCGCGAGAAAGCTCATAGTCATCCCATCAATCTATCCCGCAGCCACGCGAGGTGGAGTGGTTAAGGATGTAACAGAGAAGTTTCAACTGCCCTCTTCCCTATTTTATACAATCTCTATGGTCCATAGCTTACACTGTTACAGAAACATACCCTCTCCTTTCTCTAAATCCCAAATGCCATGGCCCAAACTGGAAACCAAAAGAGTGGCTTTTGTCGTGACACGAATGGTACAATGACCTGTTTCGTCGAACCAACCTTGACGAGACAAGCCGTAAGACCCCCTTTTGACAACGGTCCGAAGCTTGAAAGATAATTATGGTGTCATTTTCCCACGACCATTGATCCTGCGTTCCTCAAAATGTAAAAAAATAACTTTTTCTTTTTTTGCTGGGGGGGGGGGGGGGCATGGGCACATAACAATTCGGAGATTATCAAATAAATTCTATTGACAAAAATTTTACCGGTGGGTGTTTTAAATCCGAAAACACGGAGCCCTACTTATAATCAAAATATGACTGCATCAACGACCCACTTACCTAATCTTCTTTATAATGGGAAGTGTGGTGCCCCAAAACTGCTCACAGAGATGAGGGATTCCTGACAATACCAATCCCTGCAGCATTGCTCCCTGAACCTTAATGAACTTTAGAAGTGCATCTTCAGACACATTCTCGTTGCAGTCCAGGTCTAAGGCGATGAGGTTCTTGATGTTTCCCTTTTCCATCCAGTCTTTAAGTACCTGCATGCACAGAGGAATATTAAAAGACTGCAGTTGCAAATCAATGAACATGTCCATACCTGATCGGTGAAGCCATCTTGCTGTCCTGCACTTAGGTAATGTAGGGCTGGTAGCCTACATAGCAAGTCGCTGAGGCATTCTGTCGAGAGCTCGGTAGCTGTTATATCGAGCTCCTGAACACTGGTATTTTCCCAGTCGACAGCCATGACATGCTCGGCCTTGAGCCCTAAATGGAGAGGAGTCTGAAAGCATGCATTATGCAACATGAAGGAGGCTACTTGCCTGTTTGTTGCATGAGCAGGGTTCGTAGCTTCTTACACCGCTGAAACAGTAGTTTGAGTGTGGAGCCCGTCACCTTTGCACAGTAATTGAGCGACAGGCATTCCAACTGGATGCAGTTGCTACTGAAAGCTTCAACGTGGGTGTCATCCACAAATGCAATGCCATACATGTTGACACACCGAAGGTTGGGTACTGCACTTTTAAGTTTGTGGATGTTGATCACCTCGTATATCTCCTCCTCCTCCTCCTCAACTTTCTCGTAAGTGCCTGTTGAAGTACCAGAGGGGGCCCATGAAATGGACTGAGATGAAAATGACAGCTCACTCACCTATCAGGTGCAGTACTTCAATGCCATTTATGAAGTTATAAATCTTGCGCATGAAGCCCTCCATAAAAATCACCTCGGACAGACAGATGCACATGACACGCAGCTTAGTCGGGAACGTGTGGAGGTCATTGAAGTCGTGCAGCTGCATGGCCGTGGAAAAATCCAGCAGCATGTGGCTCAGGTTGGGGCACTTGTTGCCAAGTTCGTGAAGCACGGTGTGCGTAATGAGCTCGATCGGGAGCTCTATGTAGCGCAGCGAGGGACCGAAGCGCACCGAAATGAGAGCTAGCAGCTTCTCGATGCTGGACACGTGCAGGCCGGACACCTCGGGTCTCAAGGACACGTGCGTCCAGAGGCGGGAGTCCGCGGACACGGTGCGCCATTTCCGGCACACCCGGGCCAGGCGACCAACTTCGCGCTGGGGCAAGTAGGAAAACACCAGAAGGAGCACTTTGTCTGGCAGTTTGTCGATCGTCTGCGCGAGAAGAAAGGAGGCGCAGTGAGGGGAGGCTCAGTGAGGACATGCTCGTGGTCGGTCAGAGCAGCGTACCACTGTGAGCCTGCCGTGGAAAGACCCTCCGTGGCTCGTCTCCTTGAGATTGGCGATGGCCGCTGAAGACACGTCCTGCGTAACTGCCCACATCTTGCCTCTCTGCGCTGCCGCCTCGGTGCGGGCCCGGCGCTACCCTCCAAATTTAGGCTGCGTATTTATATATACCCCGGACATTCTTTTTTTTTTTTTTTTTTTGGAGCGGTGCCAGGTTTGAGCACAGCAGGGGCCGGCTGGGCTTTTTGGCCTTGTGAGATGTGCAGTCAAAGCAGCATCGACCACATGTAATAACCTCAACGCTGCTGGTGAGCGTGCGCTTCCACCACTCTATTTAATAAACAATAATAATTTAAAGAAAGCGGTAATAATTTTTGTGGGCGAACTGAGAGAACAATGTACTCGACTGCCAAAAGCTGTCGAGTACATTGCTCTCCCCGCCTGCCCGAGCAGGCGGGGAGAACAATGTCCTCGACAGCTTTTGGAAACAAATTTCCGCCTGCTGCGATCTCCACCCCCGCGTCGAGGCGGGAAGGAAAACGCGAACCACTCGGACGTTAGCGTCCCACCAGGGGCTGGAATGGCGCTGTAGTTGGCGGCGAAACTTAGGGAGGCTGTAGTGAGGGTGGGCGCAACTCAAAACCTGGAGAGCGTTTGCAATTTAATGGCGGCGCCTGAGGGAGAGGATTCGAGAAAGGATATGTGCCAGTGTTGCCTGCACGAGAGCAGGCGCCCGCTCTGTTGCAGCTCTGTTGCTCCATGCGCCTTTCCTCCTCTCGCCTCCCATTGCAAGCAACGAGCGCCTTGGCGCAGCCTCTCTCGCTTCCTTCTCGCTCCGAGAATTGCAAACGTCGAGCGGAGAAAGCAAAGTTGCCAGACAAGCAGCAACGTCCAAGATGGCGAAATTTACCATTTTTCGCGTTAAAAAAATACTTAACCTATCGCAACAAAACTGGTGGCTATGGAAAAGTAATCATTTATACCTTGTGTAAATTATTCAAGCACCTTAATGGGCTGTTATGACCCGAGTTAGGAAAGAAAACGACCCTTTGCCCCATAGACTCCCAGCAAAATTTAGCAATTAAAGGGCGTCCATGTCCCGTGATCGCCGATCTAGCAGTTGCACCCACCCTCACTTGAGCCTCCCTAGCGAAACTTGAGCGCTTCGGCGCTATGCCCGACAGCAAGCCTACAAGCGGTGGGCCGAAAAATGTTTGCATTTTTAAAATTTGAATGACCGGTGGATATATACAAGCATGACAGAGAAGCATGATCATGTTGCCAACGTAAATCTAAAATCTAATCACGCCACTTGCGTCATCTGGTGGCTGTGGTATACACTACAGTCATACAGTTGATACAGTGACAAGTGAAAACAATAAAAGGTAAAAGCCGCGGCTCGCACAAGCCACATACCTCCCTGGCTCCACCTTTCCCGTCACCTGAAAATGAACTAACACGCCGTGGAAGGGTGACCAAGTTGGCCAAGTGGCCAAGTGACCAACGCCACTCGTACAGCCAAAAGAATGGTAAATTCAGACAAGAAATTAAAGAGGTTGAAATTTGGCAGTTGACCAAAACACAAGGAAAAGAAATGACCATCTGTACGAATGGTTGTGTGCCATAAATGGAGAATAGCGCCGTGTTTTTGGAAAAACGTCTGATGCAGCGCGGTCGCGCGGTGGTTCCCCATAACCAGTGCCATCCGAGATCCGAGGCATCAGCGAGTACCTACTCTCTCCGCTCCTCAGCTCGGTTATCCCCAGGCGCCGCGACAGCGGCGCCGGCGGCGTTGGCGGTGTGCGCTCTGCGCCCGACGTAAGAGAAGGGCAGCTGTGGGGGTCCCACTCAAGGTTCCGCGCTATCTGCCTCGGTCCCGAGCATCTTCGGTGAGCTTTTTCCTGTCGTCTTACCGTGCCTACTTCACTACAAGAAGAGATACGCTCAGCGCAGATGACGATAACGCTCGTGTATATCGGCAGCCCGGTGGAATAGAAGACGCGATGGGTTCGACGAAAGTGAATAGTCGATCGAGCCACGTCTGAGCGCGCTGCTGCTCGTCGACGTGGTCTGTCATGCCGTCGTGTGCTCAACTGTTGCGGCTCAGCCTCACCGCCGTGAGCCTGGTCCAAGTGTTGTGCGACCGAGCGCCCGCCAACGTTTCGTCGGGAGCTTCTCCGCGGGTGTGGCAGTCCTTCGGCTCAACGTCCGACGATGCTCGATGCACGTCCGCCACCAGCTACCAGACGTGGATCCTCTCCATTGCCGCTGCTTGCGTCGTGGGACTTAGCGGAATCTTCCCGCTTGTGCTGGTTCCCGTGGACGCTGGACTCAACTGGAAACAGAATCGAAGTATGTATCCCCCCCCCCCCCCCCCCCCCCCCCCCCGATTGGCGGCATCCTCGGAGCGCGTTCGCGCACCCGGAATTTGTAGGGATGCAAATTCTGGGTGCAGCCTGTCTGCCTGTCTCCGAGCTGGTTATGTATTGTTTTTTTTGTTTGTTTGTTTGTGTGTGTGTGTGGGGGGGGGGGGGGGGGGGGGGGGGGGGGGGGGTTGAGACGGACGGTTTTTGGACCATCATGACATATCCCCGTGGCGGCTCGATCTAATAGCTTGTTATCGTAGCTCAAGATTAGCTCAAGAGTTTGTGAACGACGCTGTTTAGTCGGGAAGCGCGATCGTTTCTCTTTGAAGGCGGCAGCCGCTTAGCATCTTCCCTATCTCTGCCGTTTTCTGATTGTAGCACCCTCTTTCTCCATTGGGCACCTGATAAGGACGGCCGTCTCAAGTGTGACCGCGTGTGCACCGGTCTTCCTCGGACACGGGGTCGCGTGCTCCATACCTAAACAAACACGCTCTCGCAGAAAGAAGCTGAGCTCGGCTTGAGTGCATTTATAACTCAAGGAATGCGTGTGTTTGCAGAAGGCAGCCGGACACTCAAGCTCCTGCTCAGTTTTGCTGTCGGGGGCTTGCTGGGCGACGTCTTCCTACACCTGCTGCCCGAAGCATGGGGACGACTACAGAAAGGTCTGTCCCCCCGATGGCCAAAGGCACGTCAAAGTCCCATCGAGAGAGATGCGATAACAGGAGCAGGACGGGGAAGTCAAAAGGATAATAATGGAAGAGGAGTATCTGGACACCTTTGCCTAGAACCCCTCCACACAAGTACTTAGAGGATCTAATCGGTGTGTGCTTGTCTGTATGTGCGATTTTTATTTTTAATTTTTTAGCTGCATTCTTGTTAAGCAGTATTTCACATATTTTCAGAGGGCGGAAGGCAGTAGTAACTCAAAGTGCATATTTAAAATATAATTTGCTGTCCATACCTGACCCTCTGGAAAAAAATAGACCATCATATCTTTGACATTTCCAACCAACATATTGTTTTCAAGTTTCATCTGCACCCAAGACAGGCTCCGTGCTAGGAGAGGAAAAATCAAAAAGGGAAAAAAAAATATTCGACAGAGACACCTAAAACCAGTCTTGGGTAGTAACGCGTTACTGTAATTTCATTACTTTTTTTGGTAACTTGTAACTGTAACTAGTTACTTTTTAAAACTGTAACTTGTAACTGTAGTTCTATTGCTTTTTTTAAGGTAACTATGAAAGTAACGACGTTACTTTTGTCGTTACTTTCCAGTGTTTTATAAATAATATATTACTGAATGAGGGAGTGGGGGGGGGGGGGGGGGGTGCAATTTAGCCATTCCTTGCACTTTCCAAATCGTCTATTCCGACATTTCGAGTGTCAAGTTGGCCTTGCACAAAGTTGTGAATACGTTCTTTCTCGCGAGTCACGACCCGAATATAGCCACGTGTAGATGTTATGAAAAAATATCTAGTTATCTTTACGCACACACTTGTGCTTTGTGACTGAACACTTACATCTTACTTTCTTGAAGCACTATCTATGTTGTGTTTTTTTTTTTTTTTGGTTTTGGTTTTCTGTGCAAACGTTTTTTAATCGGGTGAATCAACCGTGAAACAACAATACACGTGGAGGGCACTGCGCATGTTTCGTATTTTGATTTGTACCCCTACTCCGGCGTGGAAACTTTCAAACACTAACTTCGAGAAGCAACGGCTGCTGAGTTACAATATGAAGTAAAAAGCGTACTTTTTTTTAATTTTATGCAATAAAACGTTGTGAGGGCGTTTTCTAGTTTTTCTATATTTTTGGTATAGAAAAGTAACTGAAAAGTAACGTCGTTACTTTTTAAAAGTAACTATAACGAGTTACTCTTTTGTTGCGGTAACTGTAATGGTAATTTCGGTACTTTTTCCTGAAAGTAACTGTAACGAGTTACTTTTTAAAAGTAACTTACCCAAGACTGCTTAAAACTGCTTATGTGTAGGAATGCGAAAGCACTCTTACACACAGCGGATTCCTACAAGCAGCGCGCCACGTCTTCCTTTTCCCCACGGCGCCCCGGCGGTGACATCACCCTCTCCCACTGCGCAGGCGCGGCGAACCCCGCCGGCTTCACCGCGGCTTCCGTGACGAAGCATCCGCGTTGCTGTGCTTTTCTTTGTGTTTTATTTCTGAAGCACGTCCGCTTTGACCTTGAGAGCTCCCGCAGGCTTCTGTGGCGTTGCTGTGCTTTTCTTTGTGTTTTATTTCCGAGGCGCGTGCTTGGTGACGTATTGGTATGACCATCTTTCGGGGCACAACAATGGGACAAAGTGGTATCTACCGTATCAACTTCAGTATGGAAGAGAAAGAGAGAGAAGGGTAGGCAGGTTAATTGGTTTCGGCATAGCTTCAGGGAGAGAGGCCCTCGGATTCCTCCTTTTGGCTTACTATAGCAATTAAGTTTGAAAGCCTAAGAGTTAGAAATGACCGTATATTCATTTCAATCTCACCTAAACTTGTATACATCAACAATATTTTGTTTTTAAAAATATATATATATATATTTTTTTTTGCACTTGGGTTTAGAAACGCTTACGCCAACATATTCCACAGACATGTACGTAATGCGTTAAGGCCCTGTCACACTGAGGCAACACGACAGCAACATCAACACAACAGGTTGTCCAACAGTCGGGCAACTTGTTGCTCGCTCCCCGTGTTGTCCGACAAACCTGTCACATCGCGGCAACAGCACGACAACATGGAGGACAACTAAAATGTTGCCTCGGTATGACAGCTTTCGGCAACAAAAACAGCAGCAACTTGTGTTGGACAACGTGTGTTGCCCTGATCGCTGGCTGAGCGAATTTCGGGCCGGCAACACGACAACATAGATAGCTTCGATGGCAGAGCTAGTCCCCTTTCAATAAAGTCTTACTTGGAAAACGTTATTTAACAATAATTAGGGCTGGCGTGCAGCTAAAATATTTTCGTTTAGTGTTTTTGCTGCGTAGCAGGGTTGCCAGGTTGGGCTATTAATAGCCAAATTGGGCTACCTTGTCATGCATTTGGCGTCGAAATTTGGCGGTTGGCTATGTGGCTATTTTTGGGCTATTTCAAATCCTAACGCGGCACATATATTTTTTTTTTTTTTTTTTTTTTTGCTTTGCTTAGAGTAGTTGCACAAAAGATACTTCAGCATGGACGCAAGGCGACAGTCCACCCTTTCTGAATTCCCTCTTTTATGGATTTTTTGCGTGAAGATTCGTGAGCGTGGTGCCAAAACCTATTAGCTCAAGTGAGTTACCGTGACAGTTCAGCTCCGACGACATCACTTTTGTGGTAATCGTGGCTTATTTTATGCTCCCAAGTTCTTTCTGCATACTACTTGTGTCTCTTCGTTCCTCGAGTTTCCCACCATCCTCCTACAGGAAGCACACCATCCGAGCGAAAATGATACTAAATGCAACTCAAGACATCCTGCAGAATTTTATGTCGCCCGATAACGCGTGCTGTACCGGATATAACGAAGGAGGCTTTTCCACGAAACATGAAAGTTTCTTAAAGCACAATGAGCCATAACAAAAGACAACAAATTCGGGACAATGAATATTCCGAACATGGCCAAGATCAATGCGCAGGAGCAGCCCTGTTTCCGTTGCTATCCGAGCTTGCCATCGCGCTCCAGACACTGCGCATGTCGAATGCCGCCGTGGAGAGAGTATTCAGTCACGTGTCTCTCACAAAGTCAGTCCTAAGGTAGAACCTGTTCTTTCCAACTCTTCAATGCGTCCTCTATGTAAAGTGTGCTTTCCTTGGGAAGAACGAGTTCTGTAAGGACATCAACCCTACTGAAGAAGTTTTGCCCGTTTTAACACGGAAATCATGTATGAGGCGGAAAAGCCGGGCACGAGCGTGTGCTTCATAACTATGCGACTTCAAAAACGCGTGTGGAAAATTTTTGTACTTTTGTGTTTGAAATAAAACGTTCAATACATTTCAAGATGTAGATCTTGCAAGCTACTCCTAAACCCTAGATATGCAGACGCAGTGTCTTCGAATTGAGCTCCCACATTCAAGCGCGCAATTTTTTGGGCTCTGCAGAATATGGCTGCCCTTGGGCTACATAAATTTCTTGTATTTGGCTACTTTTGGGCTACGCCGTCTGGCTTTTGGCGGTTTCAGCTAGAAACTACCTGGCAACCCTGCTGCGTAGTTACGGAAAGCGATTTTCGAAATGGTCACAGCCACGGCCGTGAACGTTCAGCCTGGTTTTGAAATTAGAACTGCCGAGAGACCAGCTCACATTACTGATAGGGAAATAAAATGGCATGCCTACTCACCCGCTAATAAAGTATAATAAAAATGATCCAGAAAACCAAAGAATAAAAAATCGAAGCATAAAACGACCACTCTGATCATGATTGTTGATTCTTGGAACTTGGAAACAGCCGCTACCAGACACCTGATTTGTTTTCGAAATTCCCATGACGTTTTGGGGGAATGAAGCGATCAAGTAGACAGAGTTGAAAAATATTTATTCCACCCATTGTTATGAAGGCCGATCGTGTCGGTATCGCAGTTTTGAAGCACTGTCAGTTCGGCTCAACACCGCGCTACAAAAGACGTTTTGGGGTACTGCCGGTGCTAACTTAATTTTACAGTAGAAATAGGAATTGCATGAAAGAACCGGACAGAAACACTTCATACGGTGGCGTAAATCCCGAACATATATCAGCGATGTCACTTTCCTCCGTTATGGCTATCTCCTTTGTCAGCCAATGAAGAACATTTCGATAAAATAAAGAGCGGAAAATACTCCCCGTGTCAAGTTTTCTAATCACAGTCACTGGTTGATGTCGTACCGTGGTAACTCCCGGCCTCTCGAGCGCACTAGCACTTAGTAGTCACATTTGCAGCGATTCCGCGCCGCACACGAACGAAGGTAAACAATCAAGATGGCAGAGGCAGAGTGTTCCCCGTGTTGCCCCCGCTACCCCCGCTGCCCCCGCCGTCAGCGCGGTGCAGGCGGCTTTGGACAGGGTTGTCGGACAACAGATCGGGCAACACGGTTGCCGGGCGGCAGCAGCATGTTGCCCGACTGTTGTTGTTGCCTTGATGTGACAGGGTCGCCGGCAACACGACTTCCCCGTGTTGCCGGATAGAGTTGTCCAACTGTTGCCTCAGTGTGACAGGGCCTTTACAAGTAACGAGTTACTTCTACCTAGTATAACGAGTAACGTATGTAGTTACTTTTAAGGCCAAGTAACGAGTGACGATGTCTCGTTACTTCTAAGGAGTAACGCGTACAACACCGCCTAAACGGCCTTGTTTTTATTCGAACCCGAGTACGCGTCTATTGCGAGAACTAAAACAACGTAAATCGCTGAACACGTCAGTCGAACAGTTCAAGTGACGTGTCCAGCGCACGTGGTCCAGCGATAAACGTTGGTGCACTGAACTCGACAGCTGGGAATGTCCTTCACCCGGCGAACACAATAAGGTTCGTTGGTTGTTGAACCTTCTAGAACCGGGTACGGACCGAATGTAAACCCGGAGGTTGCGAACACGGGAAGGCACAGAACCCACTACCCGCTGTCCTCAATGAAGGCGCAGTTCCCGAAGATTCACCAGCTCTTCCTGAAGCACAACACTGCCGTTCCTTCGAGCGCGT